TAACACTAGATTCTGAAAAATACATTTATTGTAGCATAATAGTCACTTTTCATACCATGTCCTTGACTAAGTTCACGCATGATCTCCAGTGGATTCCTGTCTCCAAACACGTCATCATAGTCTACAAGTGCCTCCTTCACTGTCTTGTATCCTGATAGGACCACCACTTTTTTAGTTCCCAGATAGACCGTGAAGACTGATCCATATTTCTTGGATAACTAAGAACAGAAAAAAGTTCATTCTTTGACACAAATCCAACAAAACAAATGTAGGCAGCTCCCTGTAGAGCTGAATCTTGAAAACCACCTAAAAGAAAAGTAATGCAAAAACAAACTCACCTCCAGTAATGTGTTGTAGGGTTTTTTCAGGTCAAGCTGAAGTAGGTTCCCAAGCAACGGAAGTGGTCTGGGTCCTGGAGGCTCCTTACCATGTTTTTGAGTACTGAAACTCGAAGAGGAAATTAAATAGATTAGCAGGAGGACTATGACAGTCCCCAATAAGAACGAAGAACTGAAACACTGGAGAAAAACATCTAATATCCCCATGATTATAAAACAAAATGTCCTCTGATAGTTCTTTGTACACAGCGACTCACTGACCCAGCATTTGGTACTGAAGTTCTTTTTCTTTCTTTTATTGTTTCTTAGTTGACCAATCTAGACATCCACTACAAGGGGGTGGGGAAATGCAGTAGAAAGGTTAAACTGAATGACTTAGTAAATTATTACTGTTAGCAAGCTGTTACTTTGCTCTATACTGATATTGATTTTCTACTCAGAAAGACCTGTCACCGAATTCTTATTGTTTAACCACAATCAAACAATGAGTGTATTTGAGTTAAAGGATCATGAATAAAAAGTGAAATAGTGCGTTAGATTTCTCTGGTTCTTTTTAAGGCCTTAGGAATCTTCCAGATATTATCCCTTACAGTTATTTGTATTTAGTCATGAGAAATAAATGTAATATAGAGCTAAGCTGTTACTGTTTGGAAAACAGATTTATAAAAATGCCGGACTTACCACTGAAGACCTGAATCATGAGTAGCAGCTGTTCTCGTGATGAACACCATTAAGATGGTTACAGTTTGATACAAAAATAAAGTTGTTTTTGTTTTTTTGTTTTTTTTGCTTCAGCCAAGTTCTCAAGCTTATTTTTCTGTGCAGTTGTACAACTCTGTGGTCACCCCAGTGATTTCAAGCAAGTAACTATTTGCTATTTGGGGGAGACCATGGTTCAGGTGGTTGGGAAGATCATCTGTAACTGGAAGGTTGCCAGTTCGATCCCCCAGCTCTCTCTGTCCTGGTAGTTGTGTGCTTTGGCAAGACACTTTACCCTACCGCCTACTGGTGTTGGCCAGAGGGGCCGATGGCGTGACATGGCAGCCTCGCTTCTGTCAGTCTGCCCCAGGGCAGCTGTGGCTACAACTGTGGTTTGCCTGCATCAGTGTGTGAATGTGAGAGTGAATGAATTATAAAGCGCTTTGGGTGCCTTGAAAAAAATTATAAATGCAATCCATTTTTATTTATTGATGTATTTATTTAATTTATTTTGGCACTCCATCCATAGTAACGTGTTAGACAGAAATCATATTTCAAATGGCATTTGGTACTTCAAACCATATATTACTGTTTAAACAGAATTTCTAACACTAGAATAAGGTCAGATACAGTCACGGCCGCGTAGCTGGTGTGTTTGTGAAGCGGAACAAAAAACAGACACAGGAGAGTAAACTCAGTATAAGAAAAGGTGAGCCATTTATTTGGCTGACAATACATGAACACAAAACAAGGCAAAGTGCGCTGGGGTAAAAACTAAACTGAAATCTAAACCGGGAATAAATTCAGATAAACTGTGACAAGAGAACATAAATCTGAAAAGCTGCATGCGGAACTATGACGTGAAAAAAAAAAACGAAAAAAAAAAAAACACACCAAAACTAAACACACTGACCATGGAAACAAGACTTTCAAAATAAAACAGGAAACATGGAGAGATGTAGACATGCTAACAAAAGCTCGATAACATGAAACATGCAGACAAGAACTACATGACAGGCTGGGGAGACACTAATTTGAATAAAATTAGGCTAAATTTTAAATCCAGACAACAGGGTAGGACAACTTTGTATAAACTGCCACTTCTATGACCAAAAAGAGAATTCAAATTGTGAAAAATTTAGGTAGCATCTCAGGTAATGCAGTACTAGTTCATCCCAGTTTAGATAAACTAAACTGTACCTTTAGACGTAAACATGAGGTATTGACATACTTCTGTTATTGACATTCTTCTGTCACAAGCTCTCCATCCTGAAGTCTCTTACATTAGTAAATGCAAAGAGCCTCATTTCCATTCATGAATCACTTTTAGACCAAAAAAAGCCATGAGAAATGATTACATATAGCCACGGTCACAGTGAAACCCCTGAGGAGAAACGCTCAGAAAGTATTTTAAATAACACAGTTGGGACGATGGATCCTTATTTTGATAGTTTTCTTACCACGCCCTTGTCTAAATTCTTTTTCAAAATGCAATTGTTTTATTTCCAAAGACTATTTCATAACCAACAAGTGTGTCCTTCACAGTCTTGAATTCTGCAAAACCACCACTATTTTAGGTCCCAGATAGACTGTGATAACGGATCCATATTTCTTAAATACCTAAGAACAGCAACATTTGGTCTTCCGATGTCTGTGAAAATATGGACATATGCTGCTGTTCTAAGGAGAGATAAATCATCCATGGGGAGAAATAACAAGACAGAACAAAACAAAAAAATAAAATAAAAACCAGTTTTTTGTATCCATATATGATCCATCTTTTGTCTAACTAATAAAAGAAAAAACAAATTCTTTTACACACACATCCAAGAAAACATCAGTACTGATGATTCTGGCGTACATTTCTATGGCAAATTACTTTTATTGTTTAGTAGAAAGAAAAAAAACAGAAGAAAAAAAAAAGATTACACCCAGATGATTCAGTTCTTTGTACAGGCTAGGACAACTTTTGTCAAGAATTTCTCTCCATCACATACAGGAAACAGCATACAGTTTGTGAGGTGAAGGTCCGAGAGTAGCGCCCACACTTGGCGTGAGATCCAATTCATCCTCTGAAACTCCAGGTGCAGGTGTCACAAACTGAAAGCAGGGACTCAAGCGCAGAGCAGGTTGACGTATCAGAACACGATTTATTTACACACCAGTGCAATACTATATACAGTGACGGGGGAAAGTCCAGGATTCCAAGGGATTAGGGGAAGGCTCTCTCTCTCTCTCTCACTCACGTCCTTACATCCGACTCACACACGTCCGTACCGCGGGGAGGTCACAGGTCCGGGAAGATAAACTGGAATAGGGAAGGGAGAAATCACTCACAAATCACGAAGGTAGGGCGTAAAGGTATAAGACCAAAAGAAAGACTAACGTCAGTAGCTCAATCATCCAGCGATGAGAGGATCTGTGACCCAGCCTCAAATAGTAGATCGTAATCAGCTGATCGCCATCAGCTGATCGCCAACAGCTGTGTGAGCCAAGGGTGGGAGCCAGCTGTGAGCTCCGCCCAGGCAGAGAGGTAGGGGAGAGAGAGAAAAAGCAAAAACACAAGTGTAGCCCTGTGAGGCCGGCTGGGCAGGCACAGGGACCATGACAGCAGGAGCGAAACGAAAATGCTGCAGGAGGGTGCTGAAGAAGAGGAAGAGCTCCATCCTGGCCAGACTCTCTCCGAGGCAAACCCTGCGACCTGTAAGAGACAATTGAAGAATAACTTCAGCTGTCCTGTCAGTAGATGTAACCTAAGCAATGATGGCTGAGCTCACAAAACTGCAGAAAATGGAATGAAGGCATCTCACTTAACAAACTTTTTCTCTTTTTCCAGGAAGTGAGCAGGATAAAAGCTGCGTGGTCTCTCCCACTCGTTGGGATCATGCAGGACAGATGTCAAGAAAGGAAACACAAATTACAATACAGAAATGGAAAATCCTCTATATGGGGAATAATAACGAGAAGGCAGTAGGCACAAAAAGGACCGGAATGAAAAGAAACAGCACATACGTGTTTTCTAAGGCCAATCATTCCCCTCTTTCTGCAGTTGCTTAACAACCTGCCTTCAAGATTCAGTTTTATGCATTCAGTTAAACCAATGAGAATATAGCAGGTGGGTTATTCAGTCTAACCTTCTCACTTTATCGAGAAGGTTAGACTGAAAAGTGATGTCTCGGGTGGTTTTGTGGGGAAGTGCAGTGGGGATGATGCTGCTCAGTCTCTGTATCTCATGGATGACGGTGTCAGTGAAGGGCAGGCTTTTCCTGTCAGCAACCTGCACCTGTTGGTCTTCTATGACCCTCCTCAGCTCCTCCGGGACCTCCTCTGGTACATGAAAGACAAAGTGGACACATTTTATCTCTGAAAACCCTAAGCTATAGTCAAGAAATGCAATTTACATCACTTCTTTCCTTTGATTTTGTTATGGTCACTCCTTCCTGTCCATTGGCATTTTCAAATCGAGGATTACTCAGGCACCTCACCCTATATCTTTGGATATTTGGCTATAAGCAGAAGTGCCCATCTCATCTCAGTGTTTGCCGGCAGCAAACAGATTCATTACTATAATTAAAAGGTTATCATCATGGAAGTGACTTTTGATAATCCCAGCCTTCTGCACATAGACATTTAACAGCAAAGTCACTAAAATAAAGTTTAAGGAGCTTCAGTAGTATGAAAAAAAAAGTTGTCCAACACTTATTTTACATTTACTTCAAAGCTCTGTGATGCAGGTTCAAGAACAAAAGTTATTCTTTACAAAAAAAAAACCACCACTATGAAAATAATCTCTCTCTATTGATTAACAGAAAAAATTGCAACACGTTGCACATAGACATTAACATTAGCAAATGATTGAATCATCATATTCAAATCTGTGTCCATAGACAATGGAGCAGATTATGTTAGAGAATGCACAGTTAATTGGTTGGGTTGTATCAAAAGCTTCTCCTGTGCCCCCCCCCCCCCCAAAAAAAGGAAAAAAAAGATATTTAAGTAAAATTTCAGATAATACTAGTTCATCCCAGTTTAAACAAACTCAACTGTACCTTTAGATTTCTTGAAAATATCAATAGGTATTGACATTCCTCAATAATCTTGTCTTCACATGCAAACATGCAATCAACAAGTGCCTCCTTCACTGTCCTGTATCCTGCCAGTACCACCACTTTTTTAGGTCCCAGATAGATGGTGAAGACTGATCCATATTTCTTAACCCTTTAAGACCTACCATAGAACCAAGTCCGCCA